AGTCCCGGCCGGGCCCAAGGTCGGGCGAGGGCCGGCCAGGCCCGCGCGGCGACGCGGCGTAGGAGGCCGGGCCCCGCGGAGCGCGGCCTACTGTCGCTCCCGGCGCGGCCTGCCCGCCCAGCGGCCACAGCCTCACCTGACGTGAACAGCACGATGGCTTTGAGGCAGCTGTACTCGGCTGAGTCGACGTGCAGCGCCTTGAGCTTCTCCACCTGCTCCTGGAAGATGCGGATGTGGTCCATGAAGGCCACGACGCGGTCGGCGGACATGGGCGAGGCGTGCAGGCCGGCGGCGGCCAGCAGCGGCGCCACGTGCAGCGGCATGGAGCACTGGGCCGCGTTGAGCACGAACAGCTCGCTCCAGGTGAGGCGCAGCAGGGACACTTGGTCGGTGATCTGCAGATCCGGGAAGAAGGGGATGTTTCGGGCCCACTCGACGGCGCTGAAGAGCAGGCGCGCGGCCAGCTCGCAGATGTTCTCGATGCCCATGATGTTGTTGGGCTGCATGCATTGGCTGCCGTAGCGCGACGTGGGGTAGGGTTCCGCGCGCAGCAGCAGCGAGATGTAGCCGGACAGGTAGCAGTGGCCGTTGAGGGGGTCCCCGTTGGTGAGTGCGTACTGGCCTGGATTGGGTTGGGTTGGAGGCATTCTTCCTCGCTGAACCGCTGACAAAAAGAAAGAGAGAAAAGAGGCAATGTGCATCCAGGGGGCTTGCGAACATCGGCGTGCCGCAGCGCACCCGACACAATGCGGAGGCTCTTTCTGCAGCCACAGGCGCCCGGTGCATCTTCTCTCGCGCTCGCTCTCACTCACAGCCCACACCCGGAGGAAATCTGGGGTGAGGGCCTCCAGCTCCGCGGCTCAATTTGCCCAGCCATCGCCTGAGCCCCTGGCCACCCCGACCCTGCCAGAACTAGGCCTGACCTCAGGGCCCCCAGCCCGGCATGGTCAAGAAAGCGCACCCAACCCCTTCACTACCAAGGTGTAACACTCAGGTTAATGAAATACCACTCACCCCTCCAGAATGAAACAAATCAAAGTAAAGCAAAAACAAACAAAAAAGAACAGGCGAACACCAGAGAAAGGTTGTGGTTCTAGGCAAATGCCTAGCCGCCTCTTCATTTGCAAGCAAACAGTGTTTTGCTCAAAATGTTTCCATATTCTCCCCAAATGCTATAGAATTATCCTTAAAATAGATACAAGTTACATAACCACTTACAACTTTTGAATAGAAAACAAGTATCCTACACCCCTCCCCTGTCCCCTCCTCCCCTTCGCCCCACACAAAGTTCACTCTTAAAAGCAACAGAAAATTGAAAATTTTCAAGAAAAAAGTTGAACTTACAGTAGCCAAACATTATTGAAAAAAGTGGGAAATAGAATTAATGTCTGTCCTGTGAGGTGCCACTGCAACCTGCAGCCAGCTTTTGCCCAGTGAATGCACGAGCTTGCAACTGCAAAAACACTGGATTCATTAACCATCTGAATGCAAAACGTAAGCATGCTTTGAGTTCTTAAAGCTGACCAAAGTTTTTTTTTTTTTTTAATGTGTATGTTTTACTTCAACAGTGCCAGCGCTTTAAATTGCCATGTAAACAAAGACAACTTTAGGAAAAGTTAGGGCTACTGAACTCTCCCCCCAACAAATTAATATAGATATGTCCATGTACACATAGCTGTCTTATTTCAAGTTGTGCACTATTTTCTTAAGTTTGCTTTGATTCTAATTTTAATGCAAGCCCCAATGCAATTTAAGCTCTTGAAACATAACAGCTAGAATACTTTTTTCTAATTATAGTTTTGAACTTGGCAGTTATTTTTCAATTAAATGAGAGCACAATTCAGTTTTTTTTTTTTTTTCAGATGCCTACAAAATCTCCCTGGAGCTGGAAATGAAGTCGTCATATTTGCCTGCTCCTTGAGATCTGAAGGAATTCAATTTCTTTTCTTGTGGCATATAAAATATAATTTTAAAGTCAATTACAAGAAGGAGTAATCTGCATTCTGCAAAATTGACTGGTTCGCTAATTTGACTATAAGACATCTTTAATGATTGTCAGGAGATAAACTTTAACTGTAAACGGCTAAGTATATTTATAAGAAAAGTGCTGCATCTCCTGCCACATGAACATGAAGCATATCTAAATACAACATCAAAAGTTGTGTTAAAAGAAACCAAACCCATACAACACAGGGATTAAATGAAGGGGAAGCTCATGCCAGCTGCAGTCTATGCATTATAGCCAAATCAGAAGGATCGGTAAATGCCGTTGTAAATTGTAATTTGTATGCAGTATTTAAGCAGAGGGTGGAGTTTGATGAAGAAATAAAACGAGTATCATGCTTTTAAAAAAATGACACAACTATGAAAGGACGGTTCAGTCACAAACTTTCCTTTCAAAGTAGAGGGGTGAAAACAAGGCCACAGCTCTGGAGGAGGCGGCCCCAGCTCGGTGAAGAGGAGAGGGAACCAGTGAACAGGCCAGAAGCCCCCCTTCCCCCCTAATTAGACCTACAAGTGCAATAAATCTCACTCCTCTTTTTCCAAGCTAAGCTTCCAAAAGGATGATGCAGCAGTGAATCTATGGTTCTGGGTACTCCAGTCCCCAGCCCTCCCCAATTTTAAATAAAGGGTATGAAGAGGTGGAGGGGAAAGTGGAATGAAAAACACAGAAAAGAGTTTTCTGGGGGAAATAAGCACCCCCTCCCCAAGTTCATGCCAGCACAGCCCCCAAGCACCCTCACGCACACGCGGGAAAGGGACACACACCGAGCACATCCAAGACAGAGGAAGGAAGGGGATTTTCAGCCACAGCTCACGATCCCAGGGACACAATCCTGAGCAGGCAGCGGGAGGGGTGGAGGAGCCGGGGAGGGGAGCGCAGGCCGGGAGGGGGAGGCAGCGGCAGCGAGCTTGGTGGGGGGGGGGGGGTGACGCCGGGGGTGGAAGGCAGCGGGGACAGGGGAAGCTGGGACGGGGCAGGGACCGCAGAAGCTCCAGTCCCATACAGCAGCCACCCCCGCGAGAGAAAGAAAGAGGGCCGGGGAGGCGGGCGAAGCTCAGGGAAAGAAGCAGAGAAGAAATATTCACCTTCCCGCCTCATGCCCACTTTGAGGCACTTCTTGAGGCGGCAGTATTGGCACTGGTTGCGGTGGTGCTGGTCGATGGGACAGTTCCTGTTGGCACGGCATGTGTAAGTTAAGTTCCTGCGGACGCTCCTCTTGAAGAAACTTTTGCAGCCCTCGCAGGTGAATTGGCCGTAGTGCTTGCCGCTCGACTTGTCCCCGCACACCACGCACTCGATGTGCTGCTGGCTCTGGCCCGAGCCGGGCGGGCCCTGGCCCTTGTCCCCTGCCGTGCCGGGGGTGGCGGGCGCTCCGGGCTGGCCCGGGGTCTGCGGCGTGTGCGGCGCGCCCGAGCCCGCCTGCTGCTGCTGCTCGCCACCGCCGCCGCCGCCGCCGCGGG